GGACGATCCCAAGCACGCTAAGCAGGATTTCACCTGGTCAGGACTTGAAGGGGAGACCCCGAATTGCAGAGCCCCTGGAGGCACCGGAAGTCGAGCTGAATGCAAAGGGGACTTGATTGACAGTGACATTGATTGATTGATTGATTGACTGACTGATTGATTGATTGACTAACTGACTGATTGATTGAGTGCCATCCAGTTGGCGTGGCCTCTTAGTGACCACCCCGAGACCTCCTCCAGTAAGGAGAAAAGAGGCCGTGTGCACGGAGGGCCCTGCGACAGATGAAGTCCCTGGGTTTTAAGGGGGAGGAACTGCACAACAAAATAGAATAGATTTGTCATTTTAAATGCACACTAATCAGCCTGCATTGAAATGAGATAACTGCACAAAAGAAACATGCTGGCTGGGGAATTCTGGGAATTGAAGTCATCCCCTCTTCCTTCCTTCCTTCCTTCCTTCCTTCCTTCCTTCCTTCCTTCCTTCCTCTGTCCCAACTTTCTTTCTTTCTTTCTTTCTTTCTTTCTTTCTTTCTTTCTTTCTTTCTCTTTCTTTCCTTCCCTCCCTCCCTCCCTCTCTCCCAACTTTCTTTCTTTCTTTTTCTCTTTCTTTTTCTTTCCTTCCTTCTCTCCCTCCCTCCTCTCCCAACTTTCTTTTTTCTTTTTCTTTCCTTCCTTCCCTCCCTCTCCTTCCTTCCTTCCTTCCTTTCTTTCTTTCTTTCTTTCTTTCTTTCCCTCCCTCTTGTTCCTTCCTTCCTTCTCTCTTCCTCCTTCCCACTGTTTCTTTTTCTTTCTTTCTTTCTTTCCCTCTTTCTTTCTTTCTTTCTTTCTTTCTTTCTCTTTCTTTCTTTCTTTCCTTCCCTCCCTCCCTCCCTCTCTCCCAACTTTCTTTCTTTTTCTCTTTCTTTTTCTTTCCTTCCTTCTCTCCCTCCCTCCTCTCCCAACTTTCTTTTTTCTTTTTCTTTCCTTCCTTCCCTTCCTCTCCTTCCTTCCTTCCTTCCTTCCTTCCTTCCTTCCTTCCTTCCTTCCTTCCTTCCTTCCTCTGTCCCAACTTTCTTTCTTTCTTTCTTTCTTTCTTTCTTTCTTTCTTTCTTTCTTTCTTTCTTTCTTTCTTTCTCTTTCTTTCCTTCCCTCCCTCCCTCCCTCTCTCCCAACTTTCTTTCTTTCTTTTTCTCTTTCTTTTTCTTTCCTTCCTTCTCTCCCTCCCTCCTCTCCCAACTTTCTTTTTTCTTTTTCTTTCCTTCCTTCCCTCCCTCTCTTCCCTCCTTCCTTCCTTTCTTTCTTTCTTTCTTTCTTTCTTTCTTTCCCTCCCTCTTGTTCCTTCCTTCCTTCTCTCTTCCTCCTTCCCACTGTTTCTTTTTCTTTCTTTCTTTCTTTCCCTCTTTCTTTCTTTCTTTCTTTCTTTCTTTCTCTTTCTTTCTTTCTTTCCTTCCCTCCCTCCCTCCCTCTCTCCCAACTTTCTTTCTTTTTCTCTTTCTTTTTCTTTCCTTCCTTCTCTCCCTCCCTCCTCTCCCAACTTTCTTTTTTCTTTTTCTTTCCTTCCTTCCCTTCCTCTCCTTCCTTCCTTCCTTCCTTCCTTCCTTCCTTCCTTCCTTCCTTCCTTCCTTTCCCTCCCTCTTGTTCCTTCCTTCCTTCTCTCTTCCTCCTTCCCACTGTTTCTTTTTCCCTCTTTCTTTCCCTCTTTCTTTCCTTCTTTCTTTCTTTCTTTCTTTCTTTCTTTCTTTCTTTCTTTCTTTCTTTCTTTCTCTCCCTTCCTCCTTCCTTCATTCCTTCCTTCCTTTTCCTGCCACTTGGCAGTCTGATTTTGAGGACTTTAAACCTGGTTTCTCCTCTCTCTGGACCTGACCTCTGTACTGACAATCAGGAACCCAAGGAGCAAAACGGTGGACCTTGGCTTTTGCACCTACCATTATTTATTTCTTCCAGGAAGTTTAACCCGTGGCTCCCCGTGATTTCCTGCTGAGCACCTGCCGAGTCACCCCTGTGGCTTGACTTGAACCCTTGCTGGCTCAGGAATTCTGAGAGTCGAAGTCCTAAAGTCATAAGCCTAAGCCAGGGGTAGGCAATCTTGGCTCTTTTATGACTGGTGGACTTCAACTCCCAGAATTCCTGAGCCAGCATGGGGGAACTATGGCCCTTTTATGACATGTGGACTTCAACTCCCAGAATTCCTGAGCCAGCCTGGCTCAGCTTGGAAACCTCTCCCTTTCCCCTCAGCATGGCTGGCTCAGGAATTCTAGGAGTTGACGTCCACAAGTCATAAAGTGGTCTAGGCCTAGGCCTACCTCTGGCCTAGGTCAGGGGTAGGCAACCTTGGTTCTTTTATGACTCGTGGATTTCAACTCCCAGAATTCCTGAACCAGCATGAGGGAACTATGGCCCTTTTATGACATGTGGACTTCAACTCCCAGAATTCCTGAGCCAGCATGGGGGAAACTTTGGCCCTTTTATGACATGTGGACTTCAACTCCCAGAATTCCTGAACCAGCATGAGGGAACTATGGCCCTTTTATGACATGTGGACTTCAACTCCCAGAATTCCTGAGCCAGCCTGGCTCAGCTTGGAAACCTCTCCCTTTCCCCTCAGCATGGCTGGCTCAGGAATTCTGGGAGTTGAAGTCCACGAGTCATAAAAGAGCCAAGGTTGCCTAGCCCTGGCCTAAGCAAACTCAGCTCCTCCATTCAGTGGTTCTGTTTGTGCTCCGATTTACACACACTTGAAATTCAATCTTTTGTCTCTCGGCTGTGGTGACCTTTCATGAAAGCAGGACAATTGCAAAGGCCAGGGTGGGAAAACAGAAAGAGGACAAACAACTTAGGGGTTGTGAAGGAGGGCGGGGCTTTGTTAAAATATTTGGTCATTTCGCTTGCCAATTAATAAAACCCCCCTTCCTGGATTCAAAAGTCCTGAGTTATTATCAAAAGCACCCTTCCTATCGTTCTGAAGTTTATTTCAAGAGGAAAGATTTGCCACAAGGAAACACTCTGAATTTCTAGCCAAAACATTTTGTTGAGTTATCAAGTTTTAATCGCTAAACACACAACTCATTAAAGGTGAATAAACACTCAGGAGCAAGTGTAAGTAAAAGCAAATATTAGTCCTCAACAAAACATATATACACACATATGCAAACACACACACACAGAGAGAGAGAAATCCCTATTTGATACATAAGAAAGAATAATGCCTGAAAGGATAGTTTAAGATAAAGAATAAGAGAATAACAGAGCAGGAAGGGACCTTGGAGGTCATCTAGTCCAACCCCCTGCTCAGGCAGGAAACCCTACACCATTTCGGACAAATGGCTGTCCAGTCTCTTCTTAAAAACTTCCAGTGTTGGAGCATTCACAGCTTCTGGAGGCAGGCTGTTCCACTGGTTAATTGTTCTAATTGTCAGGAAGTTTCTCCTTAGTTCCAGGTTGCTTCTCTCCTTGATTAGTTTCCATCCGTTGCTTCTTATCTTGCCTTCAGGGGCTTTGGAGAATAGCTTGACTCCCTCTTCTTTGGGGCAGTCCCTCATATATTGGAATACTGCTATCATCATGCCACCCTACCCCTTCTCTTCACAAAGACAATTCCTTTTGTGCATCATCTAAATGCGATAGATTAATTTTATTTAAAAAGACCTCTATGTCGTCATTATATATATTTTACTTTAAAATTCCGAATAACATTTTAAAAATTGACGGTTCATGTCCATTGAAGTTTGATATAGTTCACCACTAATAATTGGAATTATTGCCCTTTTTTATCTCTTGTCTCATGTCATTGAGAGTTTAAAATGGCTGGACCAATTCCCAGAATTCCCCAGCCAGCATTGCTGGAGTTGAAGTCCACCCGTCCTAAAGTTTCTAAGAACTTTATCTTAAGTGATTAGCCCAGGTCTTATCAGGTTTTCCACATCCTTCCGATATCTCTGTAGTAAGTATGTTAACATAAATTCTGTCTGTTGAGATACATTATACTAGTTAGTTTATACTTCTTTTTTTTGCATTTCTCTGTACAAAGCTGTATCTGTGTCCATGAATGTTTCAGTTGCTCTTTCGAGTTATTTTCCCAGACAGGAAAAACGTCCAGCTAAGTTAATTCTATTTTATTGTAAGGTTACATTAAGAAAATCTTGTAAGGTTACATTAAGAAAATCTTGCACGTCTGAAAGTCCAAAGTTCCTGTCCTCCACTTTTAATTGCTTAATCCATTAAGGTGGGTCCATCTTATCTCTGACTTTTCTTCTGATGGTTTCTTAGGGAACATCAGTTCCACTCTTTTACAAAGGTCACCTACACATTCCATGATAAGTAGCAATTTCTTGATACCTTAACCAAGAAGGGAAGCAACCTGGAATTAAGGAGAAACTTCCTAACAGTGAGAGCAATTAACCAAGGCAACAATTGGAGTCCTAGTGGACCATCACTTAAATAGGAGCCAGCCGTGGGCTGCAGCTGCCAAAAAAGCCAACACAATCCTTGGCTGCATTAACAGAGGGACAGAATCATGGTCACGTGAAATGTTAATACCACTTTGCAAGGCCTTGGTAAGGCCACACTTGGAATGCTGCATCCAGTTTTGGTCACCACGATGTAAAAAAGATGTTGAGACTCTAGAACAGTGTTTCTCAACCTTGACAATTTTAAGGCATGTGGACTTCAACTCTCAGAATTCCACAGCCAGCAATGCTGGCTGTGGAATTCTGGGAGTTGAAGTCCACATGCCTTAAAATTGTCAAGGTTGAGAAACACTGCTCTAGAAAGAGAATAGAGAAGAGCAACAAAAATGATCAGGGGACCGGAGGCTAAAACATATAAGGAACGGTTGCTAGAATTGGGGATGTCTAGTTTAATGAAGAGAAGGACGAGGGTGGACAGGATAGCAGCCTTCCAGTATCTCAGGGGCGGCCCCAAAAAAGAGGGTGTCAAGCTATTCCCCAAAGCACCTGAAGGCAGGACAAGAAGCAACGGATGGAAACTAATCAAGGAGAGAAGCAACCTGGAACTAAGGAGAAACTTCCTGACAGTGAGAACAATTAACCAGTGGAACAACCTGCCTCCAGAAGCAGTGAATGCTCCAACACTGGAAGTTTTGAAGAAGAGACTGGACAGCCATTTGTCTGAAATCGTATAGGGTTTCCTGCCTGAGCAGGGGGTTGGACTCGATGACCTCCAAGGTCCCTTCCAACTCTATTATTATTATTATTATTAAAAAATAACCAGTTTAATCCAGTTTCTTGACGTATGACTCACACACACCCCTATGAATCTGCAGAATGTTTCTTCCTGCTCTTATTTCCTCATTTGAGTTTCGCATTCTACAGGTTTATGGTGCTTTTGCAAGCTTTCAAGGATCCTCTTGACATAACCGCATTGGCGTTCTTATCAAGTCTCTTTATCTGAGGTTCGCTCTTTTCAAGTCAGATATGATTTTTAAATATTCACATACAGCAGTGTTTCCCAAACTTGACAATTTTAAGGCATGAGGACTTCAACTCCCAGAATTCCACAGCCAGCGTTGCTGGCTGTGGAATTCTGGGAGTTGAAGTCCTCATGCCTTAAAATTGTCAAGTTTGGGAAACACTGACATACAGGGTGTGTGGGTGGGTGTATTGTGTGTACATGTATGTGTGTGTGTGTGTATCTAAGTATGTATGTTCAAACTTAAAAGGGCGCTGAAAAAAGTGACTTATCACTGTTTTTCACACTTATGACCGTTGCAGCACCCCCAATGGCCACGTCATCAGCATTCGGACGCTTGGGCAGCTGACTCATATTTATGACGGCCGCAGTCTCTTGCGATCCTGTGATCCCCTTTTGCGACCTTCCAGACGGCAAAGTCAGTGGGGGAAGCCAGATTCACTTAACAACAGGGTTACTAACTGAGCAACTGCAACGATTCGCTTAGCAGCCGTGGAAGGAAGGTTATAAAGTGGGGCAAAACTGACTTAGCAAATGTCTTGCTTAGCAAGAAACGTTTTGGGCTCAGTTGTGGTCCTAATTTGAGGACTACCTGTGTGGCCACTGTTCTGGACCTGGAGGTGGTCAGGTCCATCTTCACTTTTGGAGACCAAGAGTTGTATGATTTCCAGCCAACCAATGATGGGCATGTGACTTTTGCAAATTTCTCCAGTGGATTCCACAAAGGCGTTTCAAGAGGTGGACTAGAATAGAAGAACAGAGTTGAAAGGGACCTTGGAGGTCTTCTAGTCCAACCCCCTACTCAGGCAGGAAGCCCTATGCCAGGGGTAGGCAATCTTGGCTCTTTTATGACTCGTGGACTTCAACTCCCAGAATTCCTGAGTCAGCCACGCTGAGGGGAAAGGGAGAGGTTTCCAAGCTGAGCCAGGCTGGCTCAGGAATTCTGGGAGTTGAAGTCCACCAGTCATAAAAGAGCCAAGGTTGCCTGCCCCTGCCCTATACTATTTCAGACAAATGACTGTCCAGTCTCTTCTTAAAAACTTCCAGTGTTGGAGCATTCACCACTTCTGGAGGCAGGTGGTTCCACTGGTTAATTGTTCTCCCTGTCAGGAAATTCCTCCTTAGTTCTAGGTTGCTTCTCTCCTTGATGAGTTTCCATCCATTGCTTCTTGTCCTGCCTTCAGGGGCTTTGGAGAACAGCTTGACTCCCTCTTCTTCGGGGCAACCCCTGAGATAGACTTGTGAGTCTCATAAATCCTCCTTGGATGAGAAATATCTTTCGGGGCAGAGATGAGGTTAAAAAAAGGGTCAAGACGGTGAGCAGAATTGCACCATCAATGTTCTGCCGCAGCGGCCATCTTGGACTTTTTTGACTGCTCCTGAAGACATCCTTGTGTGTCCAGGGGCTGGATGGAAGTCGAGAAGCTGAGGGCCTCCCTTGTATCTCCAAGGGAGATCTCCGATGGAGAACGACCACCGTGGATCAGATGTTCCCATCCAGAGCTGGGCTAAATGAATGGAACCACATCTCTGCAGGCCATGGCCTCCAACGTCTTCTCTTTCTCCTTGAAAAGAATGGATTCTTTCGCACTGGACAAGGGAACTGAAACAGAGACATGGGAGAGAGTATTTTCCATGCGTTGTCCCTCAAAGAGAAGTTGCCTCAAAAGGGCTGCTGAAGGAAAGGCTTAAAGACAATGCAAAGACCGACCAAGCCTGGCAGCTGTGTTTTTCCAAATCCCACCCAGAATGCGGTTTCTTTTGTTTTCTCCTGAGAATTATTTCCTGCATGCTGTCCTCGCGTGGCTGGGGCAAAGTCCCCAATTCTTCTTGATCTTGGGTGTGATCGCCAGCTTGGATTCGCATGATTGCTATCTCCCTGCCTATAAATAGCTTTGGTGGAGGGCAGATCGAAGACTCTGGAGAGGAGACAGAAGGTAGGTGGTCATCCGGGAGGAGAAAGCAAAGGTGAGAACGTGAGCATCCTTGCTCGCCTCTCCATCGTCTTGCAGTTGGCTCTTCTCCCTTTCTTGAAGTCATCAAGAAGGAAAGATGGAAGGAGGAAGGGGAGGAAAGAAGGAAAGGGAGGGAGGAAGGGAGGGAGGGAGAAGGAAGGAAGGAGAAGTCAAAACAAAGGAGAGGAAGGGAGGGAGGGAGGGAGGGAGGGAGGAAGGAAGGAGGAGAAGACAAAACAAAGCAGAGGAAGGAAGGAAGAAAGGAAGGAAGGAAAGGGGGGAGGAAGGGAGGGAGGAAGGAAGGAAGGAGAAGGAGGATAAAACAAAGGAGAGAGGAAGGAAGGAAGGAAGGAAGGAAGGAAGGGAGGGAGGGAGGGAGGGAGGAGGAGGAGGAGAGGAAGGAAGGAGAAGACAAAACAAAGGAGAGAGGAAGAAAGGAAGGGAAGAAGGAAGGAAGGAGGGGGAGGGAGGAGAAGGAGAGAGGAAGGAAGGAGAAGACAGAACAGGAGAGGAAGGAAGGAAGGAAGGAAGGAAGGAAGGAAGGAAGGAAGGAAGGAAGGAAGGAAGGAAGGAAGGAACAGTGTTGCTAGAGTCATTCAATCCCAACATTAGGAGGTCATTCACAACCATTTTAGGGTCATCCACAACCATGAAACTTTGATCTTTTCTCTGTCCACCATTGTGGGGAGAGGGGTCTGACGGGCAACTCAGACCTTCTTCTACCCATACTTGGTTCTCCACATCCATCCCCAACTGAAGGGGCGACTGTGCTCCATCTATCTCTTCCATCTTTCTTTGGACTTGTTCTGGTGGGACCAGGGAGATCTCACTCATTGTGCTTTTGTGTGTGTGTTTTAAGAGAACAAGAGGATGGGACGCCACACCTTCTGGGGATTCTGCCTCTTGGCCTGCTTGACTGTGGGCTCCTGGGTGGAAGGTGAGTGTCACCTGCTAGAAGGTGGGCTTGACCAGTCCCACCCTTGAGCCAGCAGAGTGGACACCTGCGGGGCCAAATAGCAGTTGGGGGACCGTTGGGAGAAGCTGGAAGCTGGAGCCCCGTCTACCTGCCCTCTTCTGCAGAGCTGGGTTGCTACCTCAGTGTCCCCTGAAGGAGGCCCAGCCAGAGCCATTTTGGGGCAAAGCTTCAAGGCCCCTTCCTCCGTTAGCTTGGACACCAGAGGAGGGTCTCCTGAGCAGATGTGTCTGGCTTTGGCAGCTGGGAAATTTCTTTCTTACTGTCCTGAAGGGTGGTAGAGGTGGTGATGGACTGGAACTCGGTCCCATTTGGTCTAAAGTTGGAGGGGCTGGAAGACAGTCCCCCCCTTCCAAAGCAGCTGTTCTCAGGAGGGTTCTATGTCTCCTTCAGCATCACCAAGCATCCAGGGCCGAGCCAAGTGTCCCGAAGAAGCCGTTTATTATCGACAGCAGTGCTATCAGCCGGTTGATGTAGCCCTCACCTGGGACGCCGCAGAGGTCAGTGTGCGACACAAAGGAAAGTTTTGTCAGACCAGAATTACCCTTGATTGAGATCAGCTCTCATTGCAGAACCTTGCAAGTATCCTTATGCAGTGGTGGGATTCAGACAGGTGAACGACCGGTTCTCTGTGTGGATGCCGCTTCCGGAAGTCCGTTCTGGGCCTGGGCAACCAAAAATTAGCTCCCGGTTCTGCTGAGGTGGTGCAAACCGGCTGAATCCCACCACTCTATCTATCTATCTATCTATCTATCTATCTATCTATCTATCTATCTATCTATCTATCTATCATCTAGTTATCCATCTATCATCTAGCTATCTAGCTATCATCTATCTATCTATCATTTACCTATCATCTAGCTATCTATAATCTGTCTGTCTGTCTGTCTGTCTATCTATCTATCTATCTATCTATCTATCTATCTATCTATCTATCTATCTATCTATCTATCATCTAGTTCAGTGTTTCCCAAACTTGACAATTTTAAGGCATGAGGACTTCAACTCCCAGAATTCCACAACGCTGGCTGTGGAATTCTGGGAGTTGAAGTCCACATGTCTTAAAATTGTCAAGTTTGGGAAACACTGATCTAGTTCTATCTATCATCTATCATCTATCTGTCTGTCTATCTGTCTGTCTATCATCTATCTATCTATCTATTTATCTATCTATATATCTATCATTTAGTTATCATCTAGCTATCTATAATGTCTGTCTGTCTGTCTATCTATCTATCTATCTATCTATCTATCTATCTATCTATCTATCTATCTATCTATCTATCTATCTATCCATCCATCCAGTGGCAGGATTCAAATATGTGAACAACCAGTTCTCTGCATGGATGCCACTTCCGGAAGTTTATTCTGGGCCTGGGCAACCAAATATTAGCTACTGGTTCTGCCGAAGTGGTGCGAACCGGCTGAATCCCACCACTGTCCTTACGCCCCCCCCCTTATACTTCAATCAATTAGGAAGGTATCCGTCAGAACTGTTTCCAAATATCACTGTATTTCCAGCTCAGGATTTTTTTTAAAAAATGTCCCACTCCTTTTCTGGGCTCAGCGTTCCTGCATGTTTCCATCCAGGTCATCTTCCTTATTCTACAGGTTTTGGCGTGACAATCTCCCACTCATCCTCCGGTTTTGCTAAAACCTGTGTTGTAAAATCGGTCAAAGGTGCTTTTTCCAAGGGCACCTGGACTTCCAACAGCTTCTTGAATGAAGAGAGAAATGTCTTCCTCCTCAAGGGAAAAGCAAAGTCCAGGTGCCTTTTGAAAAAGCACCTTTGAGACAAGCATGATCTGGATGCCTGAGAATCTCCCTAGACATAAAAAAAAATCTGTTACTCTCTTAGTTATTCTCTTATTCTGTAATTCTGTTTCTTACTCTGTATTTCTGTTACTTTTTACTCTGTAATTCTGTTACTCTCTTTCTCTCTTACTCTGTTACTCTCTTACTCTGTAACTCTCTTACTCTTATTCTGTTACTTTCTTATTCTGTTACTTTCTTATTCTGTTACTCTCTTACTCTGTAATTCTGTTACTCTTATTGTTACTTTCTTATTCTGTTACTTTGTAATTCTGTTACTCTCTTATTCTGTTACTCTCTTACTCTGTAATTCTCTTGCTCTTATTCTGTTACTTTCTTATTCTTACTCTCTTATTCTGTTACTCTCTTACTCTGTAATTCTGTTACTCTTATTCTGTTACTTTCTTATTCTGTTACTTTGTAATTCTGTTACTCTCTTATTCTCTTATTCTGTTACTCTTACTCTGTAATTCTGTTATTCTTATTCTGTTACTCTGTAATTCTGTTACTCTCTTATTCTATTACGCTCTTACTTTGTAATTCTGTTAATCTTGCTATGTTACTCTTGCTTTCTTATTCTGTTACTCTGTAATTCTGTTACTCTCTTACTCTGTAATTCTGTTACTCTTGTTCTGTTACTTTTTTATTCTGTTACTCTGTAATTCTGTTAATCTCTTATTCTCTTATTCTGTTACTCTCTTTGTAATTCTGTTACTCTTATTCTGTTACTTTCTTATTCTGTTACTCTTTAATTCTGTTAATCTCTTACTCTCTTATTCTGTTACTCTCTTACTTTGTAATTCTGTTACTCTTGCTATGTTATTCTGTTACTCTGTAATTCTGTTACTCTGTAATTCTGTTACTCTCTTATTCTCTTATTCTGTTACTCTGTTACTCTTATTCTGTTACTTTCTTATTCTGTTACTCTGTAATTCTGTTACTCTCTTATTCTCTTATTCTGTTACTCTCTTACTTTGTAATTCTGTTACTCTCTTATTCTGCATTTCTTTCTCTTCATGTCTGCAGATTGAGTGCCAGCAGCTGAGGTCCGGAGGCCACCTGGCCACTTTCCGGACTGCTGCTGAGGAAAGAATTGTCTCCTCCCACATCAGGCGCTCCAGCACCACCACAGATGCCTGGATTGGGATGCATGCGGTGCGAACACCCAAGGTAGGCACCTCTTTTGTGAGGGTCTCCGATCCCTCCGAGAGGGCTTCATCTCACAGACCACCAGATACTTCAGCCACAGCCTTAATAGTTAATAGTTAATAGTAGTAAAGTTGGAAGGGACCTTGGAGGTCATCTAGTCCAACCCCCTGCTCGGGCAGGAAACCCTACACCATTTCGGACAAATGGCTGTCCAGTCTCTTTTTAAAAACTTCCAGTGTTGGAGCATTTACTGCTTCTGGAGGCAGGTTGTTCCACTGATTAATTGTTCTCACTGTCAGGAAGTTTCTCCTTAGTTCTAGGTTGCTTCTCTCCTTGATTAGTTTCCACCCGTTGCTTCTTGACCTTCCCTCTGGTGCTTTGAGAATAGCTTAATTCCCTCTTCTTTATGGCAGCCCCTGAGATATTGGAATATTGCTATCCTGTCCCCCCTTGTCCTTCTCTTCGTTAAACTAGACATACCCAATTCTAGCAACCATTCCTTATATGTTTTAGCCTCCAGTCCCCTAATCATCTTTGTTGCTCTTCTCTGTACTCTTTCTAGAGTCTCAACATCTTCCTCCTTCCCTCCGCTCCTCTGTGGAAAGTCACGGAGGATTTTATGGCTTTGGGATCAGTTCTGTGGCAGTGGGAAGTGTGGGCATCCCCACGAGACCAATATCTGGAGACAGCACTGACCAGGAGGAGGATGTTCCTTGAAGGGAACAAGAAGACGAGTTCACAATCTATCTAGTTAAGAGATCCTTCTTAGGAGCTGGTGCCCGTAAGATCTCCGGCTGGGAAAAAGAGACTTCTTCACAGCCAGATCCCACATTTTATTGATTGATTGACTAGCCAATATTTTAGCCACCCATTTCACCAAAGATAATAGAATAACAAAATTGGAAGGGACCTTGGAGGTCTTCTAGTCCAACCCCCTGCTCAGGCAGGAGACCCTATGCCGTTCTGAACTAATATCTGTCCAATCTCTTCAGGAAAACTTCCAGTGATGGAGCACCTTCCACGTCTGGAGTCTCCCTTCCCCTGGACTGGTGGTCTTCTATCCCTTTCTCTTTGATTCTCAGAACCTATTTCCTCACCTGCCACCTCCGAACAAACCTATGGACATTTGAGGTTTCCAGACCTCTGGAGGGCACCAGGCTGGGGAAATGAAAATGAGATAGAATAATAATAATAATAATAATAATAATAATAATAATAATAATAAATACTTTACTCACTGAATGTCCTTTTCCCGCCTCAATAGAAATTCATCTGGGAATGGACTGATGGAACCACCTACACCCCAGGAAGCCTCCTCTGGGACAACAGAGCCCCCAGCATCAGCCTTTCCACCCTTGAATGCATCTCCGTCACCAACATCCACGTTCCAGGAAGTACGTCTCTCTCAGTCCCTCTTCAGAAAAAGGGGTGGATGGGGGGGAACGAGGAGGGGGAAGCCCACCCTTCCTTACAAGAACATCTCAGGAAGTTCCCCCTAGGAGGCATCCCTCCTCCCCCCTCCTTCCTTCCTTCCCTCCTTCTATCCCTCCCTCCCTTTCCTCCAGCTTCCCTCACTCTTCTTCTCTGCTGTCCCTCCTTCCTTCCCTCCCTCCCTCTCTTCTCTTCTCTTCCCTCCCTCCTTCCTCCAGTCCTTCCTTCTCCCTCTCTCCCCCTCCCTTCTTTTCTTCTTCCTCCTCCTCCCTCCCTCCTTATCTTCTGCCCTGTCCCTCCTTCCTTCCTTCCCTCCCTCTCTTTCTCTTTCTTTCCTTCCTTCCTTCCTGCCTGCCTGCCTTCCTTCCCTCTCTTCTCTTCCCTCTCTCCCTCCCTTTCTCCTTCCCTCTTTCCCTCCTCCCTCCCTCCCTCCTTCCTTCCTTTCCTCCTCCTCCCTCCCTTCCCTCCTCCTCTTCCCTCCCTCCTTATCTTCTGCCCTGTCCCTCCTTCCTTCCCTCCCTCCTCTCTTTCTTTCTTCCTTCCTTCCTGCCTGCCTGCCTTCCTTCCCTCTCTTCTCTTCCCTCTCTCCCTCCCTTTCTCCTTCCCTCTTTCCCTCCTCCCTCCCTCCCTCCTTCCTTCCTTTCCTCCTCCTCCCTCCCTTCCCTCCTCCTCTTCCCTCCCTCCTTATCTTCTGCCCTGTCCCTCCTTCCTTCCCTCCCTCTCTTTCTCTTTCTTTCCTTCCTTCCTTCCTGCCTGCCTGCCTTCCTTCCCTCTCTTCTCTTCCCTCTCTCCCTCCCTTTCTCCTTCCCTCTTTCCCTCCTCCCTCCCTCCCTCCTTCCTTCCTTTCCTCCTCCTCCCTCCCTTCCCTCCTCCTCTTCCCTCCCTCCTTATCTTCTGCCCTGTCCCTCCTTCCTTCCCTCCCTCTCTTTCTCTTTCTTTCCTTCCTTCCTTCCTTCCTGCCTGCCTGCCTTCCTTCCCTCTCTTCTCTTCCCTCTCTCCCTCCCTTTCTCCTTCCCTCTTTCCCTCCTCCCTCCCTCCCTCCCTCCCTCCCTTCTTCCTTCCTTTCCTCCTCCTCCCTCCCTTTCCTTCTTCCTTCCCTCCCTCTTTCTCCTTCCTTCCTTCTTTTCTTCCTTCCTTCCTTCCTTCCTTCCTTCCTTCCTTCCTTCCTTCCTTCCTTTCCTTCCTTCCTTCCCTCCCTCCCTCCCTCCAGTCCTTCTTTCTTCCTCTCCCTCCCGCCCTCTCTCCTCCTCCCTTCTTTTCCTCTCTCCCTTCCTCTCCCTTCTTTTCCCCTCCCTCCCTCCCCCCCTCCCTCTCTCAGTGGCATCCTTCAATCCACTAAAATGATGACTTTTTTCATCCTGAGTCTAACAGCCTCTCTGGCCCTTCTCCCCTCCAGATGCAGCCAGGTGGATCCAGCGCACCTGTGCCACCGTCCTGCCCTTCATCTGCAAGTACAAAGCTTCCTTCTAGATCCAACCATCGGCGGAGGAGACCAGCAGAGGGTCTTTTCCTCACTGGGGACCATCTAAGGAGGCTTCTGCAACCCCTCAATTCCATTGGAGATCAACCTCCTGACCCTCCTTGACCCCAAAATGACAACCTCCCTCCTGTGGCTTTTTTTTTTGCTCATTGTTGATGGTTGCTAATCTTAAGGCTCTTACGGTTTTTATACCTGTGCTTTTATCCCATCCTGAGCTGCCCACTGAGATGGCCGCATATAAATTTAACAAATAAATCAATTGCAAACTGGTTCTTGGGTTTACTGAACTAAAATGGAGACGGTCCTTTCTCTTTTGAGATTTGTTCAGCCCTTATTTTGTTGCCAAGGAAATAGATGTGAACACAGCTACACACCCCTCTCTGTGGGTCATTGTGACACCCAGAACTTGGTTTGCAAAGTATTTCAAAACCACCAGCCCAAAGGCCAGGCATAATCTTGGGGGGAGCCGAAACTGGGCAGTCCGGGAGCATCTACTAGAAATAAGGAGAAACTTCCTGACAGTTAGGACAATTAACCAGTGGAACAACCCGCCTCCAGAAGTGGTGAATGCTCCAACACTGGAAGTTTTTAAGAGACTGGACAGCCATTTGTCTGAATGGGCAGGGGTTGGACTAGATGACCTCCACGGTCTCTTCCAACTATTGTTATTATTACTCTATTGGGAGTGATTGCATCAGCTTAACGAAGAAACTCTTCTGCACAATCTAACCGATCCTGTGTCCATCTGGATGGCAAGGATCCTCACCTCAAAAACTGATTGGGGGGGGGGGTTTACCCACCATGCTTCAGTCCTGCCCGCCCCCCCCCCCAGCCAGGAAATATCTCTTCCTGGTTGCTGCCTCTGGATGGCATTTCTTGAACCAGTTTTATCCCCAGTTGAATGAAGCAAGCCTGTTTGGCTGGGGGTTGGGGGCTGAATAGCCAAAACAGCATTCCCCCCCCCACACACACACAACAAAGACCCAGAGCCAAGGGTGGTGGTGGTTTGTGAACATTTGCCACCCGCGGTATGCAACTGATTGTGTGCAGCCTCCTTCCCCATCCTTGTTTTGCAATTCTATAGATCAGTGGTTCTCCACCTGTGGGTCGTAGATCAGTGGTTCTCCACCTGTGGGTCGGGACCCCATTTGGGGTCGAACGACCATTTCACGGGGGTCGCCAAACAATGCAGTCTGCCATTTTTCCCCCCTTTTCCTTAGCTGTGCTACTCCCTTTTCTTCTATTGGCTTTTGAAAGCCAATAGAAGAGACTCTCTTGAACAGAGTCTAATTCTATTGGCTTTCCAAAGCCAATAGGAATTGTCCAGGCTGTTTCTGCCCTGCTGAGCCCGCCAAAAGTCCCATTCTGCAAACGGTGCTGCACCAGTTGAGTAGTCCTCGACTTACGACCGGTTGAGTAGTCCTCGACTTACGACCAGTTGGGGGGTCGCGGCATTAAAAAGGTTGAGAACCACTGCTATAGATTCAGCCATTCACCACCAATTGCTCTCCCAAGAGGCTGCACTACAGCTCCCATCTTCCTTGGCCAGGAAGCCCTTTGTTTTTGCTGTCGCGGGGGGGGGGGGGGAGAGGATGGCTGCTCTAGTGAAACTCAGCCAGAAGTTGACCATGTGGGCATTTGAGGTTGACCAGAACAAGCTGGGCGTCTCGGAACCACGATAATTGGTGCAAAGGTTGTTTCTCAACCTTAGCAATTTGAAGTGTTCTGGACTTTAACTCCCAGAATTCCCCAGCTTTACATTTGTCTAAGTTGAGAAATAAACCACTGAAGTGAAATGTCTGTCCATTCAGCACCATTGGAAGGCTTGACTCTCCTGGTGGTGCACTTTCCTTTCCTTTTTTCTCCAGCATGGTTGGCTGGCTGGGGAATTCTGGGAGTTGGAAGTGCACAAGTCTCAAAGTCGCCAAGCTCGGAGAGCCCTGCCTTAGAAGATCTCAAAGATCCCTTCCAACTCTATTATTTTGTGTATTTTTTTAAAATTCTATTCTAAGAAATGAAGAGATCTTACGCCAACGAGGAGTCGACTCTTGTTCTCTCCTTGCAGTTTGACATTTAGCCTGAAGGCCTTTGTGGTTTTATGGCTATTAAAGGCTTTACCGGGGAGTAACAGTTTCTTTCATTTTAAAAAAAAGAACACGGAAATATCGCCAGTCGGAGCCTTTGATTCCTGAATCAACCAGACAAATCTATCCGTCCGTTCATGGACTTTGTGTGTGCACAGCGGAGCAAATATCCAAGTTCAGCCATGCTCAAAACTACTGTGAGGGACCAGACGGGGAACACAGAAATAGGGGAATCCCAACAATCTTGTCTGAATTTGCCCATTCCGGTGTCGGTTGGTTCCTCTCCCTACTTGGCTATCCAGAAAATGGGGACAAGCGAAACCACTGAACTCAGAGAGCATCCTAGTTCCTCTCCTCCTCCTCCTCCTCCTCCTCCTCCTCCTCCTCCTCCTCCTCCCTTTAGTTGGGGGTGGGGATGGAAAACCAAGTATGGGCAGGCCTGAGATGGGGAGTTGCCCTTCAGCTCCATCTCCCCACCACAATCTCAGAAAAAAGATTAATATTTGGTGGTTATGGATAATCCTAAAATGGATTGTCCTAATGTTGGGATTTGAAGACTGTTCAAACACCCTTCCTTCCTTCCTTCCTTCCTTCCTTCCTTCCTTCCTTCCTTCCTTCCTTCCTTCCTTCCTTCCTTCCTTCCTCCCTCCCTCCCTCCCTCCCTCCCTCCCTTCCTCCTTCTTCTTCTCTCTACAAACCTCACTCCTTTCTAGCACTGATGATGTTACCTAGCTGGGTCATGAAACATCTGCAAGAAAACAACTTAGTTCAGAAAGCACCAAGGACTCCACAGTCCTTCCTCCTCCTCCTCCTCCTCCTCCTCCTCCTCCTCCTCCTCCTCCTCCTCCTCCTCCTCCTTCTCCTCCTCTCTTGCAAACCCCATTCCCTTCTAGCATAGGTCAGGAAATATCTGCAAGAAAACAACCTAGCTCAGAAAGACCAAAGACCCCACACTCCTTCCTTCCTTCCTTCCTTCCTTCCTTCCTTCCTTCCTTCCTTCCTTCCTTCCTTCCTTCCTTCCTTCCTCCTCATTCCGATTCAGCTTGAGGGGTGACGATCCACAGCAAACCCTCTTTACTAGTCTTACAGGATTGCGAGGTTCCACCTGGAGAAAATCAAAACTCTCAAGTTTTGAACCAAGCCAGGAAGGGGGGAGAATCTAAATTCCTCATCACCTTTGAAAAGTGAGGGTTTCAGTAACCTAGTTAGTAGCATTTGACCATGTTTCAGATCTGAGCCTAAGAAGCAGCTAGTTAGTGCAGTGGTGAAGGCACCAGGCTAGAAACCAGGGAGTTATGAGTTCTAGTTTCCCACCTTAGGCATGGAAAATGGCTGGGTGGCTTAGGCCAATCACCAGGAGACGGTGAGTTCTAGTCCTACCTTAGGCAAGAAAACCAACTGAGTGACTTTGGGCTTGTCCCTCCAGCCCAGCCAAGCCCAGCCCAGCCCACCCCACAGCGTTGTTGTGCAGAAATTAGGAGGAGGAAGGAATATTAAGTATGTTCACCATCTTGAGTTATTTATAAACTAATAAAGATGTGATTAAAAAACAAACAAGCAAATAAAAAGCTGATCCCACATACCAAAGTGACCTCAGTTGACATTGTTCATATCTTGGTCTATTCCAGGGGTGGGCAACTTTGGCTCTTTTGTGACTCTGGACTTCAACTCCCAGAATTCCTGAGCCAGCATGAGGGAACTATGGCCCCTTCATGACTTGTGGACTTCAACTCCCAGAATTCCTGAGCCAGCATGAGGGAACTATGGCTCCTTCATGACTTGTGGACTTCAACTCCCAGAATTCCTGAGCCAGCATGAGGGAACTATGGCTCCTTCATGACTTGTGGACTTCAACTCCCAGAATTCCTGAGCCAGCTATGCTGAGGGGAAAGGGAGAGATTTCCAAGCTGAGCCAGGCTGGCTCAGGAATTCTGGGAGTTGAAGTCCACAAGTCATAAAAGAGCTGAGGTTGCCTACCCCTGCTCTAGGCCTAGTTCACTTTATGACTCATGGACTTCAACTCCCAGAATTCCTGAGCCAGCCATGCTGAGGGGAAAGGAAGAGGCTTCAGAGCTGAGCCAGGCTGGCTGAGGAATTCTGGGAGTTGAAGTCCACAAGTCATGAGGGGGCCATAGTTCCCCCAGGCTGGCTCAGGAATTCTGAGAGTTGAAGTCCAAGAGTCATATAAAAGAGCTGAGGTTGCCTACCCCTGGTCTATTCTATCATTTTGGAGCTGAAAGACTGCCAAGCAGAAATAAAATAAATGTTCTTTTGTGGGCAGGTACAGGTTTGTGAATTGGCACATATGCCCTGCTTGGGTGCGTGTGCATTTATATAATGGGGATCTATGTAAACATTTTGCAATATAGATTGAGCAAAGTTTTGAGTGATTGATATTTGATGACCGGACCGATTCAGCCTTGGATTGGTTAAAGAATTTGATTTCCTTGTTCCTTCTTCTTCTTGGTTTCCGTTCCAAAGGAAAGGACAATTTTTTAGCATGTGGCACTGTGTGTCGCTGCTTTGTGGGGCTCTCTCTTTTTTTTTTGAGGCTCCAGGGACCAGCTTCACACACTGGACACTTTTAAAATGGAAGAAATAAATGAATGGAATTAGCTGTTCCCCATAAAAGGAGTTACACCCCTGGGAAGTGGCCGTGCTGAGATTCTCACACCAGCAAAACCCCAACTAGATTCACACAACACGTTGATCAGCTGGCTGAAATATCTCTACCTCTTTTTTAACACAACCTACAATGGTTGGCTAGTTCTTCTGTGGCTTAATGTGCCATGCGGGGGAAAGCCAGGATTGGTGGTGGTGGGGAATTTCAGCTTGCAATACCTTTACAAATCCAGAAAGGGGTTTTTCATTCAGTCCCAAATTAAAGGGGTGATATAGAAACGTTATTGGGTTAAGAAAACACAAGAACATGGAGGCAGAAAGTCAGACTCACAGAAGGGATGTTGGAAAGTCTGGTTAGAAAATTGGACTTCACAGAAAGAGCAGCTGAAGTTTGGAACCAGCATCCAGCAGAGGACATGGGTCAGTCCTCAGTAACCGAGTTTGAACATGGCTGGGATAAAGACATGCTCATCATCTGAAATAAAGTAATAAAATAAAATAAAATAAAAAATAAAATAAAATAAAATAAAATAATAAAATAAAATAATAAAATAAATAATAAAATAAAATAAAATAAAATAATAAAATGTAAAATAATCATAACTTGTGATGGACCACTAGGTCTTTTTCTGCTGTCAGTTTCCTATGTTTCTGAGTTAAAGTGTGTGTAGGGAGTTTGCAGGTGAGACTCAGTGAAAAGAGTTGTGTGGTTTGTTCTTCAGTGTTTCTTCAGAACCCAGCCACCCATTCAGCAGATTGTGTGAACGAGGCAGCCATTCCCTTTACCTGGGTTTAGATCCTGGCATATTGTGGAAACGCAGCCATGCCCTCCCTTGGGAGGATGCTGGGAGCTGTTCATTCCTGCAGGTTCTGAAGGGAAGTGAGAAAAACCTCGCTCAGAAAAAGGGAAAATCAGCCTGTCAACAGCAGCCCCAAGACCCAGAAGAGGTGGGGAGGATCCCCTTGTCTGGATAGCCAAAGGGGAGGGGGCTAATTACCCATTTGTCCAGAGTGCTGAGCAGGGCTGGACTGGACTGGATGGCCTCAGGGACCACTGCAGGGTTTTCTGTGTGAGATTTGTCCTGGCAGAATGTAAATCCTGTCAGATTAAAGTTCTTTTGTGCTACTTCCTGGTGGTTAGACCAAAAATTCCCTTCTGAAGCAATTCCTCTCTCCGTCCACTCTCCCTCCCCAAGAAATCCACCCCCCCTTTCCTGGCCTATAAATGCCTCCCTTCCCCTTGCAGGAGGGAAGCTTGGAGTTGCCTCTGAGCAGACTTGCTACCTGTGGAGGCCGAGGGACAGGAGGTGAGGCCCCTGAATTACATCACTCCTCTCTCTCTCTCTCTCCTCTCTCTCTCTCTCTCTCTCTCTCTCTCTCTCTCTCTCTCTCTCCACCTGAAGGGGCCTTTTGCAGGGGATCAGCAGGAGGCAGTGAGCAAGGGATCTACCATGGGGATCTCTGGAGAAGAGAAAGAGGGGCACAGGAGAGCCTTTGGGGGGGGGCTTCTGTCCTGTACGTAGCAAGGAAGGATCCACTGTGACCCCCCCCCCAAGGCTGCTGCCTGAAGAAGGCGGGAGAAACGGGGTCCAGCTGGGCAAGTGAAAAAGTGTAACGCAAAGTCTGGGACTCCCAGCTTGGCCACAGGTTGGACTTCCCCCCATCTCACCCCCCTTTCCTCTCTCCCCCTCCCCCCAGATCTCTCTGCAGGGAAGGAAAGAAGGCCATGGGGCGATTCATCTGCGTGAGCTTCGGCTTGCTGGTCATGTTCCTCTCCCTGAGTGGTGAGTCCGAGCAGGGTCCCTCGTGTCCGGAGAGGCCGAAGCTCTCCCACCCCCAACCCCTTCCTGATTTGATACCCCCCCCCCAGAATCCTCTCCCCAAAGTTGCTTTTATTCCCGTTTGGCTCCTTCTGCCATCCAGATCCCATCTTCTCTCTCTGCCCCAAGACTCAGGACTGTGTGCAGCGATACAAAACCCAAGCAAAATTAACACCACTGAAATGCAGAATTAATTAATTAAGAATGAAGTAAAACCCTTGGGGAAAATGCATGCACTGATCATGAAAAGTAGAGTGCCCCTCCCCCCTCTTGCTAGGGATTTCTCTCCATGGGAGCCACACAAGGGGTGAGACCCTTCCCCATCTGCTGAAGAGCTGAGCCCCTGCTGGCAGGATTTTGTCTCCTGCTCTGTTGCATTTTCAGCTCTTGAAAAAAACCGCATCATGTACAATTAATCAGGGGAACAACCTGCCTCCAGAAGCGGTGAATGCTCCAACACTGGAAGTTTTTAAGAAGAGACTGGACAGCCATTGGTCTGAAGTAGTATAGGGTTTCCTGCCTGAGCAGCAGGTTGGACTAGATGACCTCTAAGGTCTCTTCCAACCAGAAAGCGCTTCCTGGACCCAGCCCATCCTTCCACCCCCGTGCCTTCTTTAGCGGGATGCCACCATCATGCCCAGAGGGGGCACCACAGGTGCTAATCGGCTTTGGGAGCAGAGAAGGGGTGCTGAGGCCCAACAGATTCCACCCCCCTTGGGTTCCAATGAGGGGGACGGGAGGAGAGCATCTCAGCGGGTGGTCCCCCCTCAGAGCCACCCTCCCCCCCTAAAGCCGAGCCCTGCCAGGAAGGAGACTGGGGGGGTCTGGAGCTTTGGGCCTCAACCCTCTCCTGGGGGCCCCAAAGAAACGAGGCCAGCCATGCTAGGCAGAATTTATTGGACCTTCTGACCCATCTGGAGCAGCAGAACCAGATCCAACTACAAAGAGCATCCATGGAATGACAGGGTGCAGAGCAGAGATTGCGGCAGGTGGGGGGGGGTGAGGTGGGCTGGGGGCTTCCTTGCTTCTCCAGACTTCACACAGCCGGATCTTCAGACTATGCCTCGAACTTGCAGATGAAAGGGCAAGTATTGCTGCAGTCCATACTTAACCACTGGTTATCAACTGGGCAGCAAAAGAGAAATTTTGATCACTTCCTGCAGAGATTCCCTGAGAATCCCAGAAGATCTTTTCAGAGGCTCCTGGCTCATTTGCAGGAGGACATGAAGATACCACAGGTGGAGACTCTCATCCCCTAAAACAGGCTGAGGGTTCAACAGGTTCTTCTGAGCCAGATAACTTACCTGGCCCTCAAGTTTCTTTCATTTCTTTCACCTCTTTTTTAATTTAATTTTTATATTTATCCCACCTCTTTACAACTCACCCAAGGCAGCAAACATATCTAACATACCTTCCTCCTCCTCTTTTTCCCACAACAACCCTGTGAGGTGGCTTGGGCAGAGAAAGGGAGGGGCCGGTCCAAAGTCACACAGTCGGCTTTAGCGCCTAAGGCGGGACTAGAACTCCCCGTCTCCTGTTTCTAGCCTGGTGCCTTCACCAGAGACCAAATTGCTCTTCTGATTGGTTTATAATTAGACCAGGCATGTGTTAATATTTGCCTTCTACACACACACGCACACACACACTTCTTCTCAGCACAATGGGGGGTTGCAAGATGGATCTATATCTGAGCAAGCAAACCAGCAAGAAAAAGCCAGATGCCCTGAGACAATGATGGCCTTTCGGAACAAGGTTAAGATGGAGCTTGTTAGTTGCATTATGAGCTGATGGCCTCATAATAGTTTTCATACAGAGCTCCAGTCCCGTTTTTAATGGTTTCTCCCTTGGTTGTGTTGTGTTCCCTTGTCTGTGCAGAGGGTAGGACTGAGGCAGCTCAGAGATCCAGGAGGTCAAGAAAGGCCACCAGTGGCCAAAGGGTGGGGGCTGCAAGAAGGATCCCCGGGGTCCTCGTGGAGGGAAGTGCACCCTCCTTAACCTAACACAGTGTGCACCACCGCATGGACTTACATGTCTGGGATATGAGACATTCAAATTGTTCATGCCATTCTTCGTAGTCGGGCTTGGTGCCATCGCTCCACTGCCAGTTGCATTGCTGGAAAGACAAGGAGGCCCCAGTGAGCGACTGAGGAGGGGGCTCTGGCTGTGCAGGGCTCAGGGGCAGAGAGAGAAAAGTTGCCATAGCTTAAAGGCGCAGAGCAATTGTATTCTCCCTCCTTCCCTCTCTCTCTTTCTCTCTCTCTCTCTCTCTCTCTCTCTCTCTTTCCTTCTCTCTCTCTCTCTCTCTCTCTCTCTTTCCTTCTCCCTCTCTCTCTCCATCCACCCCAGCTGACCCGGAGCAGCTAAGCAGGGTCCCACTTGGGGGCTGCCTGGAGAGGAGACAGTCAGGAGATCCAGAGGGAAAAGAGGAGAAAAGGGCCTGGGGGGGTCCGAGGAGTCCCCAGCTCAGCTTGGGGGCCACTTTGCCCGACGCCCAAGGGGGTGACCGCTCCAAATGACCCTCCTGGGTCTCCAGAAGAGGAAGAGCGCCAAAGCCCATCACTCCCTGGATGGGGGAGCAGAAGCGGAACCCAGGGCTTCAGGGGACACTCGGGAAGAGAAAAGCCTCCCGGGCGTCTTTGGTTACTTCTTTTGAGGACCTCCTTCGCTCTTGTCCCCAGAAATTCACGTTTCTCTTCACAAAGTCCCCAGGAGCTGAGCTCAACTCCAGGGAATCCCCCCCCTCCTTTGGACACAGCGGAGCTTCTTCCAAGAGCTGAAAACCCAACAAAGCAGGAGACAAAATCCTGCCGGTCACAGAAACGAGGAATTTCTGCCTTAAATAAAAAAAGGGGGGAGGAAAGAACAGCCCCCCCAGGCCAGGCCTCCAAAGCCCCTGAGCTGAAGGCCCAGCAGAGTCTCCCCCAGGTGTGGAGGCCATCCAAGGGGCCCTCCAGAGGGAGGAAGGCCTGGAGGCCGAGATGGGGGCCAGGGCAGGATCCGGCTCTTCAAGACCGCAGTCAGTCCTTCAGGAGGAAGGAAGGATTTGGGGAGGGGAGAGAGAGGGAGGGAGAGCGGGAGAGAGAGAGAGAGAGGGAGAGAGAGAGTGGGAGAGGGAGAGAGAGGGAGGGGGGAGAGAGGAAGAGGGAGGGAGGGAGAGGGAGAGATGGAGGGAGAGGGTGGGAGGGAGGGAGAGAGAGAGGGAGAGGGAGAGATGGGGGAGAGAGGGAGGAAGGGAGAGGGAGAGAGAGGGAGGGAGGGAGAGGGAGGGAGAGAGGGAGGGAGAGAGAGTGTGAGGGAGGGAGAGGGAGAGAGAGGGAGGGAGAGAGAGAGGGAGAGGAGAGAGAGAGAGGGAGGGAGAGGGAGGGAGAGAGAGGGGGAGGGAGGGAGAGGGGGAGAGAGAGGGGGAGGGAGGGAGAGGGAGAGAGGGAGGGAGAGGGTGGGAGGGAGGGAGAGAGAGAGGGAGAGGGAGAGATGGGGGAGAGAGGGAGGGAGGGACAGGGAGAGAGGAAGAGAGAGAGAGAGGGAGGGAGGGAGAGAGAGGGGATGGCAGCAAAGGTTTTCTGCTTTGGTTCTCTCTGCCGTTGTCCAAGGCAAGATCATTGAAGAGGGAGACCTCTGCCTCCCACTGGAGGATCCCTCAAAATAAATAAATAAATGCATACATACATACATAAATAGCTTCTCAGAAAGTGTAAAGTTGAATCAATAAAGATTAGCATTACAGAGGACCTACATTCCAAAGATTGTTCACTCCGATCCAGACGTAATTGGCATCCAAACTTTGGTGGGTCATCTTGACCACAAAATCTGCTTCTTCAGTGCTGTGAAAGGAGACCAGATGGCTGCCTGTGTGCTGTTGTGTGCAGAATTTCTGTGAGAGACCAACAAGAGAGAGAGAGAGAGAGACACTTGTCAGCTGAGAACCAGATATTTGTGTGTGTGTGTGTGTGTGTGTGTGTGTGTGTGTGTGTGTGTGTGTGTGTGTTTCCACCTCTGAGAAGAGAGCAGGGATCGGACTGCCTGATCCTGGCCACCCTCACAATCTCCTTGACATCCGCAGTTGCAGTTTTTGAAGAAGTGGGAGTTCTAGTCCCGCCTGAGGCATGGAAGTCGCCGGGTGACTTGGGGCCAGTCCCTCCCTCTCAGACCAGTCCACCTCACAGGGTTGTTGTTCTGGGGAAAACAGAAGGACTGTTGTGTGTGCTGGCCACCTTCGGTTATTTCTAAAAAATAACCAGAGAAGGGAAGCTGCAGGGGGCTGAGGGGGA